TGTCACACAGCCAACAAGAGGAAAGGCTGGGAAGCACATCCAAGGCGGACTCCAAGAGCAAGCTCATTGTACTGTTAGAAATAAAATGCATTGATTTTAAACCATATACATTTTAATTAATCAGCAATAAAGAAAAATGCTTCTGTAGACTGTAATGAATATTTGTTGACCATCTACTGTGTGCAAGATCCTAGGGCTGGTGCCCTGTGGTCTGGACCCTCATGGCCCCAGAGAGGGTGCAGTTATCACTCTGCCCAAGGATCTGATGTGATTCTTGCTCAGAGCAAGAGCGTCGGGTGCTCCAGCTGGTAGCAATGCAGCAAGTAGGCCCCAAACTTCCTTGACTACCTCTCAGAGCCCCAAGGGGTCGGCTGTCTAACTGGGAACCTCTCTTCATTTTGTAGTTGGAGACCCTGGGAGAAAACAAGCATCTTGCTTGGAATCACAAAACAGGTTATTAGCAGAGCCAGGACTGGAACGCAGACCGCAGTCTCCTCCTCCAACCCCCTCCACCAGGCAGGGCCCAGAGTTCAACCCTCCATGAACATGTGGTGCTGCTGTGCCCATCACTGGCTGGAGGGACCTTGAGAGATCACCTGGTCCCGCACTGGCAAGCGTGCTCCCCTCCTGAATTTGTGGCAGGCATCACTCACCTGTCATTCACTCCCAGCCCGGAGCTGCCTCCAAGGGCTTCCCGGTAGAACCTCCATCCAGTCCCTACAATCAGTCATACTATAGTTCGCAGGCCTCCCTAACTCGGCCCCAGACGGGAAACAGAGGCTCGGTGAGGAACCGCACCTCCCGAGGGTTATATAGCAGCAGCCGATGGAGTTAGAACTGTGGACACCGCTATCCTGGAGGCCTGAGTCCATTTTCTCTCATCTGGTCCCTACTGCAACACACGAATAAGAAATGCAGTTGCCATTAATTAGGCATTAAGGGCATTGGATGCTTAATCTTCTCATTTAATCTTCTCTGTAACCCTGTGGAGCAGGGCCAGTTCTACAGATGGTAGAATTGAGGCAGAGAGGAATGAACGGACCAGAAACCAGCAATCATTATCATCGTCATCCTCCTCGTTGTTACGGTGTGTCGGGGGCCCACCGCGTGCTAAGCCCTTCCCACATACTATCCCTCTCATCCTCACAACATGCCTGGGAGGAGAGTCCTTTTGTTAGTCCCATTTCACAGACAGGGAACCTGAGACTCAGGGCGATGAAGCCCCTTGTTCGGGTCACGTAGCCAGCCAGAGGCAAAGAAAGATAATTCAAACCCAGCCTGCCCAACTCTAGAGCCAGGCTCTGACCACCACCTCACCGCACCCTTTTAATTTCCATTTTGCCACCGGGATCCACGCCCAGGGATGTTTACCCATTTTACGATGAAGCAACTGAGGCCTGAGGCCGACACCAGGTTTGAGGTCACTGTATCACACCCAGCCCCCTGGGCTGTGTTCCTGAGGTGGGAAAAACTCTTCACAAAATTTCAGCACAGCCCTCAGCTCTGTGTCCTCAGCCAGGGGAAGAGGGACCTCAGATGTTTACAGAACTGGGCAGAGACAGTCAGGAAAGGGGGTGTGCTGACTGGGCCAAGGCTCTGCTACACAGGGTCCTCCAGGTCGCAGCCCCAGACTTGGGCACCTGGGAGGCTGCCTCCTCCCTGCTCTGTGCTCTGATAGTGGAACCACAGTCAGCGGGAGGAAAGCGAGCTCCCTAAGCCCCCGGCCCTAAGCCTACTTCACCCCAGCTGCGTTCATGTGGAGGACAGGCTTACAAGTCCCTGTTGAGCTGCAGGTGTGCCAGTGGAGGAGATGGACACTGGGTGACCCAGAGCTCTCTTCCAATGCTCCCGGCCTGATGCCAAGGATGCGCTTCCTGGACCCTGTTCCAGCTTGACTCTGGCCCAATGCACCAGACGTTACAACCAACTCAAACAGAAGAGGCCAAGGGATTAACAGGATATTCAAGCGAGGGCTGTCTTGCCCCACCAGCTGTTTTCAACGTGATGTGGGTGAAAGGTCCTTCCCTGGGGACCCAAATGCTGGTCCTTGTGAGGCCTGGGCAAGCCACCTCCCTTCTCTGAACGTCTGTTTCTTTAACTGGAAAATGGGGCTTTCCAAACTTCCTCACAGAGTTGTGACCACCAATGGCGAAAGTGGACTGGCAGTGCCATGCCCAGGGCCAGGCTCTGGCCTGCACCTACTGGGTGCTGGGCCCTGGGCCAAGGAACTTGTCTCACTGCTGCTCCCAGAGGCTGTGAGCTGGAACAGCTGGTCTCAATGGGAGAGGATGCAGGAGTGGGTTCACTCTCCATCTCCACCCTTTGCATCTGTGTGACTGTGAGCAAGTCATCCTCTCTTTCTGACCCTCACACTCGTCCCCCAAGAAATGGGGGCAGTAACATCCCCCAAGGTTGCTGAGAGGATAAAACAAGATGAAGTATCAGCTCTTATCAGAGCTTATCAGCACCTAGGGTTGTGAAGGTCATATCTGGGCTGAGCTGCGGCTCTGGAGGATGGGGTGGGGGTCAGAGCTCACAGAACTCAAGGTAGAAAGTACCTGTGAGCCATTTGGTCCAGTCGTGCCCATTTCTGGCCAACCACCCCTGGGGCAGCCTGGACACTGGCTGCTCTTGGGCTCCATCCTGGAGCCTCTGACCCAGATTATCTAGTGAGGGGCTCAGGCATCTATAGTTTAAACAAACTTCTTAGGCAATTTTGTTTAATCTTTTTTTTAAGGCCATTGTCCAGAGTAGGAAATTTCAACAAAAGTAAAAGATACGCAGTGAAAGATGAAAAAAATGAGGTTCAAAGTCACTGTGTAGCCTTGGTCCTTCTCCTTCTCTGGACTATAGCCTCCTCAGACTTCCTAGCAAGGTTAAATTGATGAACTCTAAGCTCTCCTGTGGCTTTGATGTCTGTGTTGTTTCCAGTGTGGTCACATGACCCTCAAGCAGCCAACAGAAGGGAGGAGGCAGATGATGTGTGTCTACAAATGTGTGAGTCAGGATTTATAGTGGGTTTGAATGGCAGGATCCAGCTCACGCTGGCTTCAGCAAAAACAAAAAGGAGGAAGGGAGAAATATATTTGAACTGAAAAGTTTGGGGCTTAGTGGACTTCAGGCACAACTGGATCCAGGCACTAAAAGGATACATTTGCTCATTCCCTTTGTATGGCTTTGTTCTCCAGTGGGCTTTGCCAGATAATTGTATCTAAAGACTTTAAGGACAAAAACAGACCCAAGCAATCTGTGGCTACCCAAAGTCCCCTTTGTGGGTAGTAAGTTCTTTTGTCCAGAACAGTGGTACCCTTGTCTCCATGACTCTGTAAAAAGTTCCTCTCATGTAGGCAGGGAAATGTCTGTTTTCTTCATAGTAGTCTCAATTGTGCTGTCTTGTTCTTGCACGTGTGTGTGCATGCATGCATGTATGCGTGAACATGGATATGCACCTATGTGTAAGTACGTATGTCCTTGTTCAACACACAGTGTTTGAAGAAGGATCCAGAGGACCTCGAGAAGAAGAGGGGCATGATTTCTCCCCACTTTGGTAGAGTTAGCCTAGACCAGACTTGGGGGTCTCCCAAGTGCTTTAGCAGAGTGAGCCCTTGAGGGTGTGGTCAAGTCCTATACTTATGTGAGCTGGGGCCAAGGAAGCTGCAGAAGAGTGGGTAACCCTGAGGATACAGCTCCTTAGAAAGTGGGAACTTCGAGGTGCATGTGTGTCTCCCCCAGGCCCACCCCCAGGGGAAAAGAACTTCTAGTTAATTTCACCTCCAAGCTCAGCCGTGAAAGATAACCCACATCAATGGGAGAAGCTGGCTTTGTGCTGAGTGTGACCCGTGCTGAGAAACAGCATGCAGCACCAGCTACCATGGCTCCAGGAAGCCACGGCCGGGTGGAGGTGATGTCTTGAGAGGTAAGGACAGGGAGAAAAAGAAAGAGGTAGGAAGCCGGAGGGAACCATTTTCCCATCCATTCCAATTCAAGCATCCTGAGTGACCTTTGGGTTGGAAGTCTCTCTGTTCATTCTGGACAGAGATTATTGTCTTTGGAGTCTCTTTAAATTGGTCTGAGACCAGGGCTTGCTTCCATGGGCAGCTTCCCGTCCCATGGCCATCATATAAGATCCATCACCATACCACCAGGCAGAATTCCAGGAGACTTGCAGAGGAGCAAGGATCTTGTAGGTATTCCCCTCCAAACCTGTGAGTGGTGAGCTTCCTCCTTAATGTCACCCCATATGGAAGTCTTTGGAAGACTTTGGGGACAAGAGGCAGAGGGATAGGGTCACTTGAATTAGCTAATATTTTGAATATAGCAAATTAAGAAATAGATTATATCAGGAGAAGTGTCAAACGGATGAGCATGCAGGACCATGATGTGATGTCCATTTCTTTGTTCCTACTTTTATTCGGCAAATCTTTCTTTGTTGTATCATACGAAGTGCAGGCTTTTTACTATGGGCTGGCAATTCAACAGGGAAGTAAGTCACAGTCCCTCTCTGAGGAGTTCACAGCCTGTTGGGAAAGGCAGACAAGTAACATCACTAGTTTGTACCCAAGGCTCTGATCAGAGAATGAAGGCAGCAGGATGGTGGGGAGGGGCTCCTCACCTAGGCTCTGGGGAGGGGCCTTGAGTGGGCTTCATAGAGGGCATGAAGTCTTACTGAGCTGGAGGGTCAGTAGGAAGTGACTTAGGTAAAAATGCAAAAAAGAGGGAAATGTGCTGGCAGAGAAGCCAGCATGTGCAAGGGGCCTCTGTGTAAAAGCATTGACTTGGAGTCAAGTATGGCTCTTCAAATCGCAGCTCCTCCACTTACTTGCTGGGCACATTGCTCTAGCTTTCTGACCTGGGCTGCCCATCTGTAAGAGAGGAGATAACCACATCTATCTTAGAGGACCATAAAGTGTAAGAGTGATAGGTGCTTATCAGAGATCCCTTTTCCTTATGGGTAATTCTCACTCCTGTTCCTCCCATGATCTTCCAGGTATCAGGACAAGATGTTTCAGCTTTGGAAACTTGTTCTCTTGTGCAGCCTGCTCACAGGGACCTCAGCGTCCCTTCTTGATCATCTTCTCAAAGACTTGAATACTGCTGTGAACAACCTGGAATCTGTTCTTGATAAAGGACTTGAGACCGTTGACAATAGGCTTGAACGTGAGTCAGCAAGAGTGGTTTACTGAGAAAGGTGGCTTTTTGGTCCCTGGTTCATTCATTTATTATTTTTCTAGAAACAAGCAATGTTTAAATGAATGTCATTTTATGTATTACATCATGGTGAACTTTTCCAATATATGCATAGGATAAATTCCTAACGGTGAGATTTCAAAAGGTATGCACATTTTAAATGATAGCAGACATTGACAAATAATCCCCTGTGTTAACATTTTCCCCAATATTCTGCAAGAATATCTTCTTTTCTACTCCCTTAACACCACTGGTACAGACAACTTAAATATTTTGCCAGTCTCATAGTTGAAATGTTATATTCATTTCACTCAGCATTTTTCTAACTATGAAAGAAGTCACTTATTTTCATATTTTATTAGCCATTTACATATTTTAAATTAAATATTTTGTTTCTATTTTTAGCATATTCCTTGGTTGGGTTGTTCAATTTTCTTATTGATTTGTATTAACTAATTGGAAATTGGGCCCTACCTAGCCTAGGTAGCTTTCAATCTAACTACATTTATATTTAATCATATCTCCTTTTAATTCTGATTTCTTAAAAGAACTTGGCCTTTTTTTTTTCATTTTCTGGAAACATTAGCAGCACACTGACAAACATTCTGTATAAGAGAAAGTAATTTTTGTAAATGGCTGCCTTTCAAACCTTGCCAGGGCGTAGGCAGCCTTCAAAGATACAGAAGGGACCCACTTTCTAATTTCATTGCTAATAAAACTGAGCTTCAAAATAGAAGAGTCTGGATCAAGGTCACCTAGTAAATTATAGGACCAGATGCAGTTTTATTTAAATTGGCATTCTCTGTTTGCATCAGTCTAACTAGGTAGATGTAGTCCATTGCAGAGCCAAGTTGCAGTGTTATGATTATGTCTTTTCTTGTAGTCTTTTGTTTTTCCTTGAGATAGTTATCGCCTTGCCGTTTCTCATTTGAATTATTTTCTACACATATATTCTTTTTTAAAATTTTTATTTTTAATTGAAATGTAGTCAATTTACAATGTTAGTTTCAGGTGTACAGCAAAGCAATTCAGTTTTACATGTGCATACATATATATATATACATACATATTTTTTCAGATTCTTTTCCATTACAGCTCATTACAAGAATGTATATTCTTAATTCTTTTCAAATGTGCCATTCTACATCTGCCATGTCATTTATTCTGTCAAATCCCTCTTTTCTCTGAAGACCCCCATTGGAAAAATCTGTCCTCCTGCTGCTGTGTGAATCATTGCTTTCTAGGCCTGCAGAAAAGCCGTCATCCAGGGACTCCCATTTTCCACTTTCAGGAGTTAGAGCCATATTTTTTCCTTGATTCTAGATTTTCCATTTCTTTTAGTTTATTTCGTTTGTGTCACCATCTCATTAGAGCAACAGAACCCCAGGTCACTCCTAGGAGCTGGTGTACAATCAGTGGATGGATTGCTTTGTTGATGAATGATGAGTCTATATTAATATGAAGGCAGCAGGAAGGAACAAGGTCTCCCTAGCTGTGTGACTTTAGGCACATTTCTTAACCTTTTGATCCTTTATTTCCTCATCTGAAAGTGCAGGTAATAATACAGACCTCACAGAGTCGTTACAAAGGTTAAAGAAATAACACAGTCAAATAGTCTCACTTAGTATCTGGTACACAGTAGCTGCTTCGTTGTATGTAATGCTAAATGGAGATTGTTTTTGCAGCTATTACCCAGGAGTTGAAGGCCGAATTGGGGGTACTCCAGGAAACCAAGTCTTCACAGGAGGTCGACCAGAAGGTCGAGAATGTTGAGAACTTGTTGAGTGACATCCTTGCTACTGCTTTTCAAATTGTGGAAAGGATTACAGGGTGAGTTGGTGCTTCATGGTGGAGATCTTTGCTCCAAGAAAAGAGAATACATATCTTTGGGGAGATAAGTTCAAGATCAAAGACAGAAAGGTGAATAAACCTTGTGTGTCCCTGCAGAGCTTGGGTAAATTAGAGGCCGAGCTGCAGGGCCCACCTGGGCATCTCATGGGTTTGGGGTTCCACAGTCTGTGACTTCAGGGTCAGGATGAAGGTTCTCTTCACCCTTACCTCTACCTATTTGCTGAGGTCTAAAATGCTGAGTGTAGAATTCTGAATCCCCTCAGGAAAGAGGAAACTAGAATTCACACCACGTAGGAGGCCCCATACATGGATTTTTGGAGTCAAACAGTTCTGGGTTCAAATTCTGCCTCTGGCACATATTCACTCTTGGAGTCTTGGGGGAAATCGCACCTGTCTGAACCTCAGTATGTTGTGCTATCAAATGAAGAGAATCCAAACTCTAAACAGGGCTGTTGCAAAGACCAAAGAAGGCAAGGTCAGTGAGGCTCAAAGGCTGAGCACAACGCTGGCATAGAGAAGTGCCCAGCAAAGGCTGTCACGAGAGGTGACGAGAGTGAATTGTGGTTTTTGCACAGGTTGAAAATCAGTGACATCAGCATCCTGGATATCGAACCCGAACTGACTTCTGATGGCAATGGCGTTACCCTGAGGATTCCCGTCACCTTTAACATCTCCCTGACCCTGTGAGTACCGTTAGAATCTGAGACTTGGGAGTTTAGCATGGCTGATGGTTCACCAATCTGGAATCAGGCACTTTTCCACACTGCCGCCTCCGTCTCCCCATCTGTAAAAGAAGGGGACCTTTCCAGCTCTAAAATCCCAACCTTTAAAATGTTTCAATAAAGGCTGACCATAATGAAATCTCTTTTTTAAAAAATCCTCCATGAAATATATTTCTGAAATCATAACATTTACCTAATTATGAAATTTGAAAAATTGAGAAGAGAGGAACAATTATAACTTTTTGGGCAAACTATCCTCCAGCATTATTTTGTATCTCGAGATTCTCTTTAAATATGAGAGACCAGTATGAATAAATGCATAGAGTATTGTACAGTATATAATAACAGGCATGTGAAAACCATATGAAAAATATAATTTTAAATATTTATATTACTTTAAAAGATATAAAAAGATAAGAAGATGAGCATATGTAGAAGAGTCTTTATAAATTAAATGCACTGTGATTGCATCATTCATTAGCTATGAGATCTCGGGGTAGTTATTTAACCTCTCTATACCAAATATTTCCTCATTCTGAAAATAGAGATAATAATAGTACTTTTCCCTCATGGTGTTGTTGTAATGATTAAATGGATTAATCCAAGTCAAATAATTTGTCAAAAGAGCCTAACATATAATTTGTGCTCAATAAATGTTAACTATTTTTATTTTAATTATCAGTGTGATACTGTATAGACATTTCACATGAACCAAACCCATGTGGCCAGGTGAAGAAGCTCCCAATGTAAATATGTAAACTCCATAAAGAATATAGACAATATTAACATTATCTGTGGATATCCCATACAATGCCCACACAGATAGAGGCACTCACGTGGGCAACATGAAGGGACTTCCAGACCTCTGTTCACTGTGAATCTTGTTTCCTGCAGGCCTCTTTTTGGCAAGATCGCCGACCTGAGTGCTTTCTTTGACCTCCAGACTACTGTCACAGTTGAAACTGATGCCGAGACCGGGGTCTCCACGGTGGTCATGGAGGAATGCACCGCCGATTTACCCAACTTCTCACTCACCCTGCTAGACAGGTCAGGCCCACCCAATCTCAGCCGAGCTGGCTCCCCGGGGAGTTGGGGACCCCTCATTTCAGCCTATTCCTATACCTGGGAGGTGGCATAGGGTGGTGAAAAGAGTTCAGACTCTGGAGTCAGGCAGATTTTGGTCCAAAGACCGGCTTTGCCACTAGCTTGTGACTTTGTAATCATTTTAGCCTCTCTGAGCTGCAGTTTTCATATCTGTAAACTGATTTGAAATGTAAAATGATAATAATACCTATTCACAGGCTACTGAGCTGACCAGATGAGAAATGCAAGTGTTCGGCGTACAGCCCGGCACATACTAAGCCCTCAGGAATAATAATGTCCATGCTGATGTTCTGTCTCCTTCTTCTTCCCATTACTGAGACAGGAGTGTTGACCTTTCCAGCCATAACCATGAATTTGCCTATTTCACCTTTTAGCCTTACCCGATTTTGCTTCATGCTTTTTGAAGCTCTGTCATTAGGTGAATGCACATTTAGCGTTGTGATGTCTTCTTGAGGAACTGACCCATTTATCATTATATAATGTCCCTCAGTAATAATAACAACAATAATAAACTGTATTTACCTTCTTGCTTCCAGTTAAGAAGGGGGAAGAGACGTAAATGCCTACCATGGGCTTTAATTTCAGACTGTCCCCAGCCATCCTCCACCCACTGGAAAATTCCCAAAATGAGATCTGAAGACTTAATCCTCTCCATTTAAATCAGTGATCCCTGTTAATCCATAAAATTTACATCTTAAAATGTGTGCTTGAAACAGCATGTTTGGCCCAGGGAAGAGGGTGGAGGGAGAAAGGTTGACCTTGACCATGGCCAAGAGAGGAAAAATGGTCTGAAGCTGAAGGCTGGGGCAGGTTGGCTTTGGAAGGGCACAAGGCTGAGCCATGAGCAGAGGTCAATCCATCCACCAAGGACTCTGATCACAGGTGGCCTAAAGACCTCCCCAAACCGAAAAAAAGCCTATTATCACTTGGAAAGGCTGGGATGTGAGTCCAAACATCTGAGCCCTGCTGGACACTGCCTTGCTTATACCCACAGGGAATTCATCCTGCCCCTCTGGGTCTCAGCGTCCATATCTGTAATATGGCATTCCACTCTGCCGCTCCAAGTCGTCTCAGGGCCTTTCTTTCCACTTCAGATGGAATCCTACGCCCTCTCTGCTTGGTCTGAAGCCACTGTTAAATCACTTCATCCTCCCTCTTGCTCACTCTGCTCTAGACACATTAGCCTTTGCTCTATGTTTTGGACAAGCTCTTCCCCACCCCAGGACCTGCACCCAGGCTGCTCTGGCTACCTTGAACACCTTTCCCCCATCCCATCTCAATGTACTTCTCGTCCTTCAGGGTATAAAACGAGGCTCCTCCTATTCTCTCCTGTAAGAGTCTACTCTTGCCCTTCTGAGTACTTGTCACAAGCTGTCATATATTTAATCATACATTTACTTCATTTATTCTTTCAGCCAGAAATATATTGAGCATCTGCTACATGCCAGGCAGGCACCCTTCTGAGCTCTGGAGAATTTATTGATGGCGACAGACAAAGACCCTGTCCTCGTGGACCTTATTCTCTTGCGGGAAAGGCAGACAGATGAGCATTCAGTCCAACAATAAAGAGCCCACAAGGAAGATGTCAGGTTGCAATGATCCCTGGACAGAGCAGCACACTTAACAGGGCACTATGATACAAAGCCCTCCCTTAGGCGAGCAGTCAGAGAGGGCTGCCTTGAGGAGGTGACAGCTATGTTGAGAGCTGAAACTGGAAAGTCAGCCTTAGCACAACTTACATAACATTTAGGATCCAGGTTAGAAGCTGCTTGTGCTTTGCTCATCCTTGTGTCCCCAGCCTTGCTTGGTTCCTGGCACATAGTTAGTACCCTATAAATCTGTGTTGAATGAATGGATGGATGGATGAGTAGATGGATGGATGTGTGGACAGATGGATGGATGGATGGATGAGGTCTCCAGGTTGTGATAAGGCTTTCATGAGGTACTGGGGTGAGTTGCTGATCAGACATAGGGTTCTAAGTGACGATCACCCTGTATAGAAGCTGAAGTCATCTGACTTCAAGGTGTTCCACCATCTCCCACCCTCTTCTCATCTCACCTGCTTGGCTGCTCTGCCAACTCAACTGTGCTTTATCAATTTCCTTTCTTTTCTAGCCGACTTTCACTGGTCAACAAAATCGTGAACACCCTGGCCAAAGACCTGAAAAAGATCGTGTCCCTCATAGTGGAGAAGGAGGTGAGTCCCCCACTCCTGGGGGCCCGGAGCCAGGCCTGGTGGAGGGCAGGTGTTACATTCACAGGCCTGGCTCTACTCTCTGTCATCTTTCCTTCTGAGGTGCAGACTTCTCTTTGGGCTATCAGCTGGTACCTCCCGTCTTTTACTCAGCCTGGCATGGGGAGGAGGGGAGCAAGGATTTGACATTAGCTGAAATCACTGAGTCCCACACTTGAACCATTTGTGACACCCATATACTGCCAATATGCCTTTTAGCAAATATTTTCCTTTAATCAACACAATTTTACGTAAATTTATTTAAATGCATTTATTTTTTAAATCTTATATCCCTATCATAAACAGAAATTAATATCACTTATCATGTAATTTAAAAATAAGCATAGACCTATAAAATAGGTTTTTTCATCTGTGCATCACCCAAAACTATTTGTACCAGGTGCAAGTTTCCTAAGTATCATGCAAAACCTATGTGCCTAAAATTCCAGAGATTTTAAATTAGTCACTCTGGAAGGGGACTGGGAATCTGGGTTTATGGGGAGAAATCCTCCAGGTGGCTGGCTCTGTGATTCACTGAACTGGAGGGTCACTACTCAAAGTGTGGTCCTCCCACTAGCCGCACTGCCCTCACCTGGGCACTTGTTAGAAATGCAGGCTCTCAGGTCCCACCCCAGACCTGCTGAATGAAGAACATGCATTTTAATGAGATCCCCAGGACTTGTTTGCTCACAAAATCGTAAGGAACACTTCACTATAGTTCCTAGGGCCTATCTGACTCTTTAAAATTCCAAAGTTCCAAAGTTCGAGGTTTCTAAGAATGTAGGGTTCTGGGATGTGCAGTTTAAATTCTTAAAGTTCTAGGATCCTAATGTTCTAAGGGAATCTAGCATCCTGTGGTTCTCAGATTTGGGCCTTCTAGGTTTCCATTGTTCTAGAATCCTAAGGGTCAAAAGTTTTAAGAGCCCAAGTAGGGAGCATCTCTGCGGGTGGCAGGCAGTGTGCTCCCAGCAGATAATGATCAGTTCCCTTCCTTCTCTCTCTCCTTCCTTCCCATCCTCTCTCCTTCCTTCTTTCTCCCCATCTTTCTCTCTGTCTCTCTCCCTTGCTTCCTATGGTCCTCAGTTGTGCCCAGAGATCCAAACCCTCGTCGAAGACCTCGATGTGAATTTTGTTAACGACCTCATCGGTAGGTCACGGCCTGGGGAAGCGGGCGCGTTCCCTCTGCAGACTTCCAAGGGCAGGCATGCAGCTCCACCCCTGCACCACAGGCAGGTCTGGTCAGGGGACCCTGGAGAAGCGGAGGACCCACCATCTTGAGCAAGTTGGGAGAGTGCAGCTGGAGGGGTCCCTGCAGAAGTGAGGGCATTCTGTAGGCCTCTGAGAGCTCCCTACTGTCTTCCTTCATTAAACCTGCAGAGCCTGCTGGGCAGAATGATGCGAGAAAGAAGATGGGGCAGCTCTGGGTTCAAACACTTGGCAACTGTGGGGTCCTTGTCAAGTGGCTCTGCCTCTCTGAGCCTCGGTTTCCTCCCAAGTGAGACGAGATTGCAGGGTTAGTGAGTGGATTGAAAGAAAAGACATAAAGAACCTAATATCCAGGGTCCTTGCTGATAAACTCCGCCCCTTCTCCTTCCCTTCCTATGAGGATTTGTGGCTTCTCCTCCAGGAGCCTCCAGGGTTCCTTTGACCTTTGGGTCTCCAGGCCTGCCTGGGGTGGCTGCAACCATGAGGCAACACAAATAGGGTAAGGGCAGGGTCCTAGAGGTGGCCCTTCTCAGAAACAGCCACAGACCCAGTTCCTTGGGCAATCACTCTGCTTCCCATAAACCATCTCATTGGATCCTTGCAATGATCCTTGCAATGTGGGTGGTACTCTCAGCATACCCATTCTACAGATGAACAAATGAGGTTCAGAGGTGAAGTGACATGCCAGAGGTCCCATGGCTGTCGGGCTGACCCACTGGAGAGTGGCAGCCACTGGGGTCCAGTTTCTATTCAGCTTTCCAGTGGTGGAGACTGAGCCCTGCTCCTGATTTTGTTCCTTCAGCTGAACTTCAAGAGAACCAGCAGACACAAGACGGAACTGAAGAGGGTGCTGGTGAGGGCCGGGCTCTGAGCTGAGCAAGGATGAGGGTCCTCCACAGGGGCCTGAGGGGAAGCAGAAACAGACTAGGCCCTGATGATTCATCTTGGTCATAGACCGAGCCCTGAGCTTTCATCACATACCCAGACTGAGTTCTGATTCTGGTCCCTAACTGAGCCCGTAACATAGTGAGACTAAGCCTTGATTCCAGTAATTGACTGAGCCCTGATGTTGGTCCCAGATTGAGACCCAACCCTGATCTCAGTCAGATCCACGATCTTGATCACAGACTGAGCCCTAACCTTGAGTCATCCCGGCTTCTGATCAGTCTTTTCACATCTGCCGTGGTTCCTAAGGTGAGATCATGGGAGGAGGAGGGGACGAGGATGGGTCAGTGCCAGGTGCCAGGGAAAGACCCTAAACCACAGATGTCAGTCCCTCTTAGACTTAGACCTTGCAGGGTGTCATGGGAAAGAGCTCAGGCAGCCGTGAATGGCAGGTGCCGGTAAGGGCCCCCCCGCTGTCCCTGCCCTCTCCCCCTATGGTGTCATTCCAGACTGGTTCCAGAGGCTTGACTGAATTCTCTTTTACCAACTCCCTAGGGGACAGTGCTGCCACCGATCCAACCCAGGGGAAAGCCTGAGCCGGCTTGAAGGACGCCGCCTTTCAGGTGCTCCTCCTCACAGCTGGGACAGCGGTCCCTGTGCTCATTCTCTCTACCCCCAGCAATGAAAAAAAAAGCATTTCTGCCCCTCCTGCGTGGCCTGCTTATTCCTTGCATGGGGATTTGGGCAGAGGCAAGGTGCGTGCCCCTGGAGCAGCAGAGCCCTGGAGCCAAAGCTGGAAGGGACATTTGGGATTATACAGCCCCACATTATTGTCTTCCAAACACAGACACTGAGGCCCAAATGGGCAAGAAACTGACCCAAGGTCACGTAAAGACAGCATCACTCTGCCCCTGCTAACACGACACCATCATGGTGGGCTGCCTTCGCCAGCACACATGACCTCGTTAATTCCTCACAACATCCTTATGCTGGGAGACACTGGTCTTGTCCCTATCTGACAGATGAGAAAACTGAGGCTCACAGAGGCGAAGTGACTCATTGAGGTCACAGAGTAGCAAGTTGCAGGCCAGGATTTAAACCCACGGCCCTAAGAGGTGACTTGCTGGCTCTCAGGTCACCTCTCCCCAGCCCCAACCAGGTCCCACTCTCCTGGCCCTGCTTTCTCCCACCCAGGACTGATGGGATCTGTCAAGGGATTCTTTCTCTGCAACAAGCAAGCCCTCAGTTTCCCCTCTGCCCTGGAGTGAGGAGGACGGTGCCCCTTACTCACAACTGCATTCATCCCTGCAGAGGTGTGACGCGGGCAGTGGCCTCAGGTTCCCAGCAGCCCCTCCTTTCCCAGAGGGCCTCTGACTTTCCTGGCAAAAGGCCCAGGGACCCTTTTCCCATTGTGCCAAGCAGCCATCTCGGTACACAACTCTGTGAAGGAAGGACTGCTTCAGTGTTCTTCTCACGAGGGGAGCAAAGTCAGGAACGACCCAGGTCTCCACTTTAGTGACATCCCTCTCCCACTCTTCTTATTTGTCTCTGCCCCGCAAGCCTGTGAGCTCCTCAAGGGCAGGTACCTCCCTCTTCTCAGCTGCCCCAGCACCCAGCAAAGGACCAGACGCAACAGGCATTAACCAATGTTGAATGAATGAATGAATGATTCGCTCTTTGATTGTACATAGTCAGATGCCATCTCCAGGACAGCTGAGTGGGTGGTGAAAAGGAAAATTCTCGCAACCCAGAATTGGGGGTATATCGGAGACCTGTCATTATTTTCTGGTAACCAGAGCCAGCTGGGACAAAAGTGGCCATGGCCACTCGGCCCCACTGGTGACTGATGTGGCCAATGAAGGGAAAAGGGGACAGGTGGAGAAGGGAGGGAGCATTCTCCGGCTGTGATCCTGGCATTCTCAGGACCAGCTCTGGCTCCTCACCCACATGGCACAGACCTCAAAGGGGGTGAAGATTTCCTGGAGGCACTGACACCCCATGAAGGAGGCTTCAGGGAAGAGAAGGATGCTTTGAGAGGGTGAGAGGCTGTCTGCCATAAGGAAACATATTGGATGAAAACAAAACCTGAGCGGACTTTGAGTCATCCAGAAACCTGAGTGCCAATCTCTAGTGCAGACTCTTTTGAAGGCTTAATCCAGTTAAGTAAATGCTGGATCTCTTCAATATTTGCACATTCCTTCAGGATAATGTCTCAGGATCAAAATTATTACCTCTATGCCTTGGAGCATTTTATGACCCTAAGAATACATCACAAAATTATCTACCAAACCGGATCTTTCCTATTTACACTACGATGGCAGAGTATATACATTTCACCATGTATTTGCCAGTTGATAGACACTTAAAAAAATATATTTGCTCTTTGAATGACAAGAGAATAAACTTCATTACATTGGAAAAGCCAAAGATCACAAATTAGGAGAGTCAATTTTTACATCAATTCAATAGACTATTTTCTGAACTTTAAAAAAAACTGAGAAATACTTGTGTTTTATAGCTGGGTGAAAATACAGATGCTGGAACTCTGTTTGGTTGGAATCACAACGATGCAAAAAACCAAACGGGGTGGGGGGACTGAAAAGTGATGCTGAAATTTGACAAAAGTTCATTTGTTAGAGGTGACTTTTATTTCTGTGTTAAAGTTTATGCAAGAAATAAAAAGGATTTTCAAAAAGTAGGAAGACGGCTGAGTGTCTGGGTTAAGTCAAGCCCCCTGCAGGGTGACGGAAGCGGTACCCCTCCCGGCCAGCACAGGCCGCAGTGAGGGCCCTCCTGGGTGTGCAGCACCTATGGAAGGGGCTGGGCAGGGAGAGACCAGGACCTGCTCCTGCCTCCAGGAAGGCACACAGCCTCCTGGGGGAGCGGGTTTAGGAAGAAGTGACAGAATGCTGGGACTCAGAGGAAGGACTTCTGACCCAGCCTGGAGGCGAGGGGCAGTCTGGGAAGCCGTCCCAAAGAGGCTGCTGATGAAGCTAAAACTGAAAGGATGACAGAGACAGAAGGGAGGGGAGGGCATTGCAAGAGATAGTAACCAAGTGAGAGAAGGCTGGAAGGTGAGAATCAAACTAGTGTCACCTGGGGAACCACAAGCCCTCCGTTCTGCTGGGGCATCAACTCTGGAGGGTCAAGTGGAGGGCAGGGCCTTGAATGCCAGGCTGGGGTGGTTTAGACAGAAGTCAGATTTCTCTGTTCTTAGCACACTTTCAAAAACTGAAGACCTCCAAGAGCTTTTGTCTGTGTTGAACTCGTCCATCAGTATTTGCTGTAAAAGAAACTAACCCTGAGAAATTTTAAAAATCCATATTTATTGATTCCTTTAGAAATAATAATAATAAACTCATTGAATTTTAACAAAATGACATATTTTTATGAAAAATAGCCCTCTGTTCCAAAAACATCATTAGCCAGAGGAGTCGCTCTGTGTTACATTTTTTTAAATCTCCATGACGTCTGGCTTAACTGAGGACAGCTGGATTCTCACATCTGCCCTGCCTGCAGTCTGTTTCAAAATCACATGTCATGGTGTGTCTAGAAAATTCCAGCCCTCACTTGTGAGAGAATGAAAATGAAGAGGCAAATAATGTATTTGAATTAATTTAGAATTTGTTTGGGCCTTGCAGATCCCCTGGAAAGGAACTTGGGTCCCCAGACCACACTTTGAGAGGCACTGGACTAGTCGCTGGGGAGCCATAGAAGGTTTCTGAGCCAAGAAGAGATCATCTGAGCTCTCGAACTGAGGAAGTTTCCGTCCCAGGGCAGGAGCTGTTGGGGTGGATGGCTAGGCTAAAAGCGGGGAGAGAGGGTGGCTGCCAGGGAAGGGGTGATCACGAGAGAGGGATGGCCTTCCTGTGACTCACCCATGCTGAGCCTTTGCCATCCTGAGCCCCCTGGACTAGGTTCCACGGCCAGAGCTGATGGCCCAGGAGCCTGCATTCTGCCCTCTTCAGTTTGGGAGGGGGACAGTGTTGCAGGAAGGAGCAAGACCTCAACTTTGGTTCCAGAAGAGGGAACAAAGGACCATTTGGCATCTACTTAAGTCTGCAGGCAAAGTCAACATTTGTCCATGTTGTCCTGCAAACCCTGGCCCATCCAACCGAGCCTCTGCTGACGTGGCCACCAATGGGAGCAGCTGTGCTGACAATGGTACCTGTGGATCTGATTGTCACACACTGATCAAGACTTTCAGACTGTCTTACCACCTGATCCAGCAATCATGTTCTGTGGTATTTACTCCAAAAACCTGAAAATGTAGGTCCACACTAAACCTGCTCATGGATGTTTATAGTAGCTATATTCATAATTGCCAAAACTTGGAAGCAACCAAGATAACCTTCAGTAGGTGAACAGATAAACTGTGTTCCATCCAGACAATGAAATATTATTCAGTGCTGAAAAGAAATGAACTATCAAGTCATGAAAAGACATGGAAGAACCTTAAATGCACGTGACGAAGTGAAGTAAAAAGACTACACACTGTATGATTCTGACACTTTGGAAAAGGCAACCTATGGAGACAGTTTCTAATAAGATCAGTGGTTGTTAGGGGTTGGGAGGGAGGGATGAATTGACAGAGAACAGAGGGTTTTCAGGGCAGTGAAACTGTTCTGTACACTATAATGCCAGATACACATTGTTACACATTTGCCAAAACCCACAGAATGCCTAACACCAAGAGGGACCCTCGAGTAAACTATGGACTTTGAGTGATAATGATGTGTCCACATAAGTTCATCATTATAATAAGTGTCCCTCTCTGGTGGGGGATGTTGATAACGGGGGAGGCTGGGACGGGTGGAGGACAAGGAGGTATACAAGAACTCTCTGCATTTCCTACTCAATTTTGCTGAAAACCTCAAATTGCTCTTAAAAATGAAGTCTATTAAAAATGTTGAAAATTTCTAGGGTGGAGACACCAAGCCTGGTGTTGTGCTTCCATCAGAATCTGATCCAGTGTGACTTTTCAGCCCCCTCTCCTGGACTTCCTGGCCCACGTTCCGTAACAAGGAGGCAAGCAGCAATGTTTTGATGAGCAGTTGTGCTGAAACATTTACTGGGAACTCTGTTCTCCTGTGACCCAAGTTAGAATGGCATTCTGGCTGTAACATGAATCAGCAGGTGGCAAACACACTGGATGAAACCGAATCATGCTTCAGAGCTCAGCTCTGGGGTCTGCCTCCTGGTTGTGCATCTTGACTCTTCCAGGGGCCGGAGGCACCTTACTCAGCTTCTCGGAGCACAGTCTGTGCCTGTAATGTGAGTATTAGAGCATCGATCCAAACCCTCTAACAGGGTTTGGAGAGGTTGATATAAGATGTGATGTGCAAAGTACAAAGCACAGGGTCTGGGGAGACAGCAAAACTTAGACACAGCTCCTAAGAGCCGACAAATAGTGGCAGAAACTTATATACTCAGACCTAAGGCTGAACAGGGGGACAAACGATCAGCTTTGGAATCAGAAACTCATTTCTACCAGGGAAGTCTAGAACAGCTTCCAGGTAAGGGTGGAATTAGAGCAAGATTTCAAAGAATGTCATTCATTCACTCATTCATTCATTCTTTTAATGCAAATTTATGGAACTTCTGCTGTTTTTTGGGCGGGCCATAGGGACAGCTTGAGCAAAGGCCCTGAGGCAGGAGAAGCAGGACATTCCAGGGAAACAAGTAAGCAGCTGTGGACTCAGCGTGCATCTGGGGATGGTTGGTGGAGATCAGCATGACGAGGGTCCCACGGCTGGGCCTCTGCAGGACTGTCTGATCTTTGCCCAGAATGGTTAAGTGACTTAATGTGGCAGACAAGGAAGAACATCGCCAAGTTCTCCCTTCAAAAGGACCCACCGCAAAGAGGGTGGTTTGCTGACCATGTCTCTACGTCTGTCTATATCCAGTCACACAGAACGAAGACTAGAGGGAAATGAACTAAAGAGTTAGTAGGGCTTAGCCCTAAATAAAGACATTGTTTTCTTTATGCAGTTCTATATTTTAAAAATATTCTTTTAAAAACATGAATTCTTTGAATAATCTGAAATACATATTTTAAAACAAGTTTAAAATTAAGCCTTGAAGGAGGGTCCCAGCTTTTGGAGCAAATGATGGAGAGTGCCTGTCCTTGGAGCCTTGAGAAACAAGCCTTCTTAGTGCAACAGAGAATTATGACTTCCACCCAGCGAGGAGGCCTCAGCTATGCTCTGCAAGGAGGAATGTTTGATGTGAAGTCAAGGTTATAAGCCTGAGCATAAGGCAGAACTATATTCAGGTCCTGACTCTACTGCAGACTAGCTTTATGACTTTGGCAAAATTTTTCCTCTCTTGAGTCTTAGTTTTCTCATCTGTAAAATGGGACTAACAATAGTTCTTATATCTTAAGGATGCTATGAGGATTCCACAAGCATTTTTGAAAATTGCCTGTCAATGTCAGCTAGTATTATTACAGATGGGGAAACTGAGGCCCAGGAAGGGCATGGGAGCTGCCCAGTGTCAAATAGTAAGGGATGGGCAGAGCCAGGCTAGAACTGAGGGCTCCCTGAACTGAGGCCAGGGTACACTCTCCCTTGCCTCCATTCAGAGTAGACTGAATGGCTTCCTTCCTCACCATCCTGAGTCCACCTCACTCATGGCACAGATGAGAAAACCAGTTCAGAACAGGACAGGGACATGAATGAGCCATGAACTCTGTCTCCCGCCTGTGTTAGTGTTTTCCGAGTTCCCTACACCTCAGCATATGGTGACATTAATGATGTACAGTTCGGAATATGTTATTGACACATTCATCAAGTGGCTTAAGTGATTCTCTACCCATTTAATCCCCTGGGCCTTCTATGCAGGAATGTTTGCTTTGGAGGTGTTGGATGGACATGGTGAGATGGAGGGCTTCTCATCCATTTCCCAGTTGTCCATCACTCAATGCCACGTCTCTCCCTGCGATGGGGTCACTCACCTTTTATTAAGTCTGCCCCAGTGTGCAACCCATCGGGAACCAACTGACGGAGACGCAGGGCATCTCTACAACGCACCGGAGAAATCCAGGTGAGCACGATGCAATGACCCTCTCCAGCCTGCCTTTTCATCAGATGCCAAACCAGATTAAACTTCTGATAAATGTCACCAGTTACAAATTGTGATCATTTCTAGCAAAGAACACAAAGAAACAGTGGCTTAAATAATGATGAGACATCCGGAGGTAGGCTGTTACACTGGCATGGGGGATCCTACCAGCTCTTCCCTCTCTCTGCCTCCCCCAAGGCTGTGGCTTTCCTCTTTGTGCTAATAAAACAGCTGTGGGGCTCCAGCCATCATGCCTGATATCCAATCAGGAAAAAGCAGGAGAGGAAAACAAAAGCTGGGTCAGCCACATTTAATGAACTTTTTGAGAAACCCCAGCCTAAAACTTCCATTGACCATCCCTGGTGGCAAAGAAGGTTGAGAAAGAAAATTTCTTTGTTAGGTCCCTTTCTGCTCTCAAAAATAAAGGGGTTCTGTAAAGAAAGAGAAAAATGGACAGGTGCCTTCAGTTCGCCAAGTTTCCATTTCCCGCTCTTTAAAATAGGTCCATAGGACAGGGCTGTTGCCAGGACTTTCTGCAGACCCCCCAGCACTCTTTGAGCATCCTGCGATGCCCCCTGGCCATCGTCTCCTCCTTTGGGCTCTGTTAATCTGTGAATCTTCCAAAGGCATCAGCAGGACCAAGAAGGGATAAAGAGAAACATTAGCTTGCAAAATCCAAAATTAACTTCTATTTAGTGCCAACAGGCTAAGCAATTTTCAGAATGCTTGTTGAATCCTATAGTAGCTGTACTTAGTATGTGTAGGGTAAAGTACACACGACCGAAAGTCAGGAGAGCCAAGTTCTAGCCACTAACTATGAGTGGCCTCAGGAAAAGCATAACCCTGCTCTGAGCCTCAGTTTTCTATCAGTGAAATGAGTACTGGGGTGTGTAGGAAGAAGTCCAGACAAGTCCTTTGATTTCTATCCCTGAAACCCCTGCAGGTCCAAAAGAATCTCTCGGAGTAGCCCTGAAACGGACTCTACCTACCTGGGATCCCCACAGGTACCACCGCAAGATGTTAAAGGCCTCAGGCCTCTTTCTCATCCTCTGGGCTGTCGTCTCCTCAATATTTGAATATTTGAACCACCTGTGGGTCTGTTATATTGTATGTTTCAATTTCTTGGATTTCAGTCCATCTTCCTTTTTTTTTAAACATGCCTTGTGCTTTTTGATTGAATGCTGAACACGGTGATGAAAGTTGCAGAGGCTTGAAATAATGTTATGTGTTTCCAAAGATGAAGGAAGATAACAGACAGAGTATAAATGGATTGCTTTGGTCCTGTTGAGGCTTAGATTTATGTTTTATTAGGGTGGAACTATTTTGGCTCTGCTCCTACTCCTTGTGGGGAGCCTTTATTTCTAGGGCATGGCCCTTTTTCCTCCAGCAAAGTCTTTTGGATCTTAACTGAAAGCCCAAAGTGTCTACCAAGGCTATTCCACCTCAATGGTCCTTAAACTTCGATCACTGTCTCCCCATCACCACACAGCAGAGGTGCTGAAATCTCTGCTCAGCTTTTTAACTTTCTGCTGCTGTTTTCTGCCTTGGAGTCTAATGATTCTGACACCAACTACCATATGTGGGGGGTTTTCCCGACCATCACCAAGCGATTCTCTGACACCCGCTGGGTGTCCTGTAATTTAACTCAGTTCTGAGACTACCTACCTCGAGATAGAATCAGATTCCACAGGTAAAGGGTCCAGTCCCACAAAACTGCCCCTAAATTCAGATACCAATTTCAAGTCCAGGTTGTTACCTGCACTTCTGACAGATTAGCTATAAATCAGAGGTTCCCATGACCCTGCTCCATGGGTCCAATTAATTTGCTAGAGTGACTCACAGAACTCAGAGAAACATTTTACTTACTAGATTACCAGTGTATTATAAAAATGTATAACTCAGGAACAGTCAGTTGAGTTGCATAGGGCAAGATATGTGGGAAGGGGCACAGAGCTTCCATGCTCTCTCTGGGTGCCCCATCCAGATTCACCTCCCTGAATCCCCACGTGTTCACAACCCATGAGCTCTGTGAACCCATCTTTTTGGGGTTTTATGAAGACTTCATAACATAGATACGGTTGATTAAATCATCAGCCATTGGTGCTTGAACTCAACCTCCAGTCCTCCTCCTCTCCCTGAAGGGGGATGATGGTGAAAGTTCCAACCCTCTACCACCTGTTTGGTTCCCCTGCAACCAGCCCCCATCCTGGGGTGCTTTCCAAAGGTCACTTAATTAACATAACAAAAGAACTTTGATTACTCTCTTCACTTAGGAAATTTCAAGGGTTTTAGGAGCTCTGTACTACAAACAGCGACAAGGACCAAATATATGTTTCTTTTTATAAATCACAGTTCACAAGTCTCACACTGCACAGGTGAGCTTAAGAGTAGTCCAGTGAGTTGAGGGAAATTTGTACACCAGTTTCAAGGCTCCCTCGCTGTGGTCCCTTCCTCTGAAGCCAGTGCACATCACCGCCAACATCTCCCTGGAAAGGGAAGATATGTCCTACGCACAATGTCATGTGATGAAGCAACTTGCCCTACATCCCACAATACCACACCTGGTAAGAGGTGGAGGGCTTTAGAGGCCATTCTCATAACTATGACATTATAAACCCTCATACAGGAGCCATTGCAGCTCCACTGGGGAAGGCTGCAGGAAAAACAGTATGTCCAGGTGTCTTGGGCATAAATATGGTTGTATAGCCTTGGGCAGGAACTTCCATTTCTTGCTCTATACCATGAGGAAAAGCATGTCTCCTGTCTGAGCCTCAATGACCCCGTCTGTAAAATGGGTCCACCTGAGTTCTGTAGCCATCCTGCACTCAAGTTCTGATCCTCTCAGAGAATGACCCACAACTCACCCTGTCTGCCCTGCTTCCCCACAGGTACCTGACCCAAGATGCTGAAGGTCTCCGGCCTCTTTGTTCTCTGTGGGCTGCTTGCTTCATCCTCTGCTCAAGAAGTCCTGTCCCAGATCACCAATGGTGAGACTGTCTAGCCTTGGGTCGTGCCTAGTCTCGTCAGACCCATAAGACTCCCCTAGAGGTCTAGGTCATTAACCAATGTCAGTTAAGTTCTTATTAGCATAGTGTCTGGGGCACAGTTAACACCATTAATCATTAGCTGTTCTAATCATCACTATGTTACTATATTTAACCCTCTTCTCCCAAGATTCCCCTCTTTCCTGTCTCTTGCCCTGTTTCATCTATTAAGATCCACCATCAAACCCTCCTGTCCACCTCTCCTATCACCCCACACTCACTCGCTCCCCTCTGGCCACAGCAGCCTCTGCAGCATATTAAGCGCACCCCAGGACCTTTGTACTTGCTATACCCTCTGCCTGGATCACTCTTCTCTTATCAGCAGAGTTCCTTTTCTTCCTTCAGGTCTGAGCTAAAATTCCACGTTTGCAGAAAGACCTTCCTGGACCTCCCTACATATATTAGCACCTTCACCCAATACCCTCAATTTCTCACTCAGCCTTTTATTTTTTCCTTCATAGACATAAATAGCATGGAGCAGAATGCACCAGTATGGTCAGTATGGCTTAGTGGTTAAAATGTTGACAATGTTTTCTGTATTCCTTGGGAGATAGCCTCTGCTCAGAGACTCTCTAAGTGTCCCCTCATCACCGAACCAGCCCAGTTTCACCCCCAGCCTCCTCATCAGCCAAAATCTGAAGAGTTAACACCTGGCATAGCCCAGGATCCCCAGGACCAGGCTACAGAGCTCTGGCTGATGTTCTTTCTGATTGGCTGGTGCCATGCCAAGCTGGTTGCTAAATATTTTGCAACAAGCCCCCTTCCAACACTTCTTTGCCCCCGCCTCCTGCGTGTCTCTTTATTCACTCCTCTGTCGTCTCTCTCCCCTCACCCTCCCTGGAACACCAGCTCCATGAGGGCAGAGAGTTCTGCCTGTTCTCACTGGTGCAGCCCCATCCCTGGCATGGCCCTGGCATGCCACAGGCCCCTATGAGTATTCACTGAATGACTATGTCTAGAACTTGGACCAGCACCCAGCAGGCCAGAAAGACTAGATGAATGTAGAGGAAGCACCTCATGAAGGATATACTCAGAGGTCAAGTTTACATCTGAGAATCTTTGGCATCTCAACATCTGATTAAGTTTGGTTGTGGGGCGGGAACTTGTTTTTCAGCTTTGACCCAAGAACTTCTCAGTGAGGGCTTTCTTCCCAGCCTGCAGACAATTGAACTCCAAAGCTCGTTGAAGAATGTCTTCAGCCGCACAACAGACCTCCTGGACATCAGTAGAGACAGCAATTTTAGGTGAGTGGACCCTGATCACAAACCCCAGGTTCAGGCTCTCCTGGTTGGTTGGTTTATTAGAGCTGCCCCCACCCTTCTGAGTCTACAGAGGCCCTTTCCTCATCTAACAGCCCTTCCAGCGCTGAGGCCCTGACATCCACCCACTGGTTGGAAGAAGTTCCCACAGTGGGTGAAGGGGTGGGAGATGCAGGAGCTGGGGAGGTGGACAGACAGGGGTTTGGTCTGGGAGGAGGATGGCTGTTCATCACCCTGAGAGCACCATCAGCTCCGGCATCAACTCCTGCCTCTGTTGAAAGGGGAATTATAGCCTCTACCCCCAGAGGACTGCGGTGAACAGTATATGAAATAATGTATATAAAATGTTTGCACAGCTCCCCACCCTTAGTAAGACCCCAAGCGGCAGTGACAGTAACAGTAACCTCTATAATAAGGATGTGGTAACAGAAGAATCAATGCTGTCTGACCACCAGAGTGAAGAAGACCCGGATCCCTGTCCTAACACATCTAATTTAACTGCTGATCCCACCCTCGGCCCCACCCGCCTGCTCCTGCCCTTACCCGGTCCATCTTAGTTAGTGATGGCTCCATCCATGTGGTTGCTCTGGCCAAAAATCCGGATGTCGTCTTAGACTCCTCACTTTCCCTCACACCCACATCCAGACTGTCAGCCCTACCTTCAAAGCACATGTAAGCATCTGACTATTTTCTCCAATTTCTCTGGTCTGAGCCACCATCGCCTCCCCGCTGACTTACTGTTGAAGGATCCTCTGCTTCCACTTTAACCTCTCCCCCTCCATTCTGCGCCACCAGTATCCAGAAGAATCAAGAAGTATGCCAGATTCTGTAAATCCCTTGCCCAAACCCTCCAGTGTCTTCTCGTTGCTCTCAGAACCAAACCCAAAGTCCTTATCACTGGCCCGACTACCTCCCTCATCTCCTCTCCTACTAGTCTTCCCTCACCCGCTTCCCACCAGCCACACTGAGCCTGTTGCTGTTGCTTAAACATGCCAGCCAAGTTCCAGCCTCAGGGCCTTTGCACCTGCTGTCTTCAGCCTGGCCCTTTCTTCCCCTGGCTAATCTCATGACTTGTACTCTCACTTTATTTATGACTCCACCCAAATGTCACCTCCTCTGAGAAGGCTTCCCTGACTACCCTACCTAAAACTCCATTCTTCCCAATGCCACCCTCTGTCACCTGATCCTGCAGGGCCTTTTCTTCACAGCACCTATCGCCTGGCACAATTTACCTGTATTCATTTACTGGGTTTACTGTTTTGTGCACACACACTTTCCCTAAGCATGTGCTATACATGGCTCCCAATCTTTTCCTTACTATTTATTCACTCATTTATTCCAGCCTGCTTGGTACTGGCCAAAGGACTGGATGCAATCATTCTGAGGTACATTAAAACAAGAGCCTCTTTCTGCTAAGGCTGCATTCCCAGTGCTTATAACACATAGTAGCTGTGCCATAAATCACATGATTAACAAGCAAGTAACTATCTTTGCACACTTTCAGTTTCTGCTCTGCAGGGGACCTGCCTTTGCATAAAGTGAGGTCTGCCTTCAGCTGGAGCTGCAACCTTCCCCTGTTGTGCTCTTTCTTCACCCAGAATACAGCTGAGAGACCCTGAACTCCTTCAGGTCTCCCTCCAGGACTCCCACAACAACGAGGCCGACTTACTGGTAGCATTGTTATTTTCTATCCAAGTGAAGTAAGTAAAGCTGTGAGTTTCAGGTACAGCTCTGTCCACTTTTGCACAGGTGTGCAGCAGGGAAGGGGGAAGCAGCCATAATTAAAGGGCATCCAGCACAATTTCGGAAAGATTCATTGTGTGATTTGGACGGAACGCCCTCCCTCTCTGGGCCTGGGTCACCCTGTGTGTAGAATTAGGACCTGAAGACTACTTGAATGCTCCCATCCTGGGGCTCCTCCAGGGTAAGGAGGGAGGAAAAGCAACTTTCTATTCCCTGCTTCATCCAAAGAGCCCCCACTCACTGATTTGGACTTCATGAGCCCATTTAGCTCTGACTGAATATGATTTAAGATGAGGACTTAGGAATTGGCTCTAGACTCCACTCCTTGCTGCCAATGCCTAGAGAGATTTTTGGGTCTACATGGTGTACTTTTAGAGAGCTTGGGCATTCTTCAGTATATTACAGCTTTCACCTCTCCCTGTGAAACTAAGCTGTGGTCTATTTCATTCATTTCCATTTCCAGCCTGGCCCTTGAGGCAGTGGATTTTGAGACATCTAAAAGAGTACTTTCCCAAGTCTCAGTTTCTTGCTTTTGATAGGATGTTATTCTTGAAATTAACTTTTTCCTTTCTAACTGTCCCCTGAGCCAGAGGTAGTATCAGTCATATGTCCTGAATGCCAATGGCTGGAGTCATTCCCATTCTCTAGTCCTGAATCACCTCTTCCAAAAAATGAGAAAAGAATCATAATAGGGGGATTTTGAGGGTCCTGTGCAAACATGGGAACCCTCATTCTAGAAATGAACAAGGGTGTAGTGAGCTCTGAAATTCTCTTCCACCAGCCTTAACTCTTCCCTCCTGCAGGTTCCCAGCTCTTAATTCCCTTCTATTTCAAGTGCGGACAAATATGAAAGTCCAGCTTCATTTGGAGAAGGATGTAGATGGCAGATACCTACTCGCCTTTGGGCACTGCAGGCTCGTTCCAGAAAGTGTATGGATCGAACCTAGAAGTTTGTGAGTTCTCCGTCTTTCTCTCTCTGGATCCAGCTGGTTATGATGAAGCCCATCTTAAGGCTTCACCTGAAAGGTGTCACCAGCAAAACAGTACCTTCCAAAATGAGCCTTTTGTATGCAGCAGGTTGTGCATCCTATAAATAGAACATCATGTCAATGAAAATATTGTAAAAATATTGTAAAAATAATAACTTTATGGACATGAAGAGAGGTTTACTGCATAGCACCGAGGACAAAGAAAAGAGGATCACCTGATCATTGGTTGGTATTTAGATATTTCTGAATTTTTTGCTATCATAAGTCATCCTGAGCATTTTGGTACATTTTTCCAAAAATAGAATTATAAATAGAATCATTTATTTATTGTAGATTCCTAAAATTATTGGAAAAGTATAAACATTTTTATGACTTTTAAATTCTAAGGCATATAATAGTTTTAAGACATTCCAAATCACTTACAAATACTTGGCGAATAGAATTGAACTAAGTGACATGTTTCTGGCTGGTATTAATCAGTTTCACTGCATATTTACTCAATACCAATTATTCTATTTGCACATTTCTCTTCAGCAGGTAGGAGATGTCATGAATGCAATTATTTTCTCTTTTTTCTTTTCTTTTCCTTTTAGCTACCAGTAGTAGTCTATGACATTTCCTTTACTAGTCTATGACATTTCCTCTTCAGAGTAACCGTTTTCAAAGGTTTGCCCTTTTATTAACTAGAGTTTCAGTGTTTTCTTATAAATTTATAATCTCTTTTTTACAGTCTTCTTTGGTAAGATTTTTCTTTTAAACTCAGGCTGACATCCACAGTTAACTGAATGCAATAGCCGTCACCAATGTATTTTATACCGTGTCTTTTTCACTTCTGCATTCTTTATTTTGACTCATCTCCCAGTCTCTCACAGTTACAAGAAAGGACTGAGTGTGGACTCCTTTCTGAAACCATACAGGTCTGGTACTGTCATGTTCAAACATAAGTGAGAACCAGGCCAGCTACAGCCTCCTTGACTCACAGCCATCTCCCCCTAGGAAGACTATATATGGCTCCCGTGTTTTTTGATACGTTGAAGAAAATAAGTCCCGTTTTTTGTGGGAAATCTGAGACGTTAGGCTGGAAGTGGTAGATCAACTGACATACATACAAGGATTTTATAGAATAAAGACACAGACCATTGTCTGAGACTTAGATTTACCCTGACCCACTAGTCACTCAAGTGACTCATTAGGGACTGAGTCACGAAAATGAAGATACCTTTTCACTGCTGTTTCCTGCTTGTTTTTCACCTCCCCTCACTGAAGAATGATAATATACCATTCTTTCCATGAATACACGACCACCTGGCCAAGGAGATAAGTTCTATTGTAGCATTAGATAATCAGAGAAATGGGAGAGTCGGCCAGAGAGGACTCAGGGTTGGCTAGAGAGGTCAGGAAGGACTTTCTGGAGGAAACCGGTTGGCTGGACCTAGAAGGGTGATAGGAGTTGAAGAAGGCTTTCCAAGAGAGAAAACAAAATAGACACAGAGAGGGAAATAAGAGGAGCAATGATAAGGGCAAGGGGATTGAAACTGAAAGATTAATTTTAAGGAGCCCTAAGAGGTAGGTCAGAGCAGGAGGGCAAGGTCACGAAGCACCCTGGAAACAAGGAGTAGACTTTGAGCAATTTGGGGTCCACTGAGCAAAGAAGTGAGATGAAGAAAGGAGGCTTTGGGAGAAATTAATCTGTTCTACCAACTTCTGTCATTCTTCATTTAGAAACACCCGGATATCCAATTTTGTTGTGGGAAACGTGGAGAAAATCCTGAAAAACCTGATCATCAATAATTTGGGAGCCAACGTAAGTCTACAAAACCAGATTACTTCAGTTTTTGAGTTTGATGCTCGGAGGTCGGTGGATTGGCTCTTCTTGATAAATTGGGGGAAAAAAATGCCCCAGGAAGGAGAGTTAGGGAGAAAGGAAATGGCATTTATTAAGCTCCCATTCTGCAACAAGACACACGTGAGGTTTTTTAGAGACATTATTTAATTCTTGAGGTCAAAATTGGCAGCTGTGTGACTGAAGGTGAGTTGATAAGCCTCACCAAGACTCCGTTTCCTTATCTGTAAAATAAGTAAAAGTAATAATAAAATTAATAGCTAATATTCTTTAAGCACACAGATACTGTGCTAAGTATCTTAGATGGATCTTCTTATCTCATTCTCCTAACAGTCTTATATTTCAGGTAACAATATTATCTCCATTTTCCAGATTTAAGAAGAAGTCTCAGAGAAGAATGACTTACCCAAGTCATATAACTGCCAATTGGCTCAGCTGACATAGGATCCCAGGGCAATCTGTCTGTCCCCAAAAACCACTTTATTACCTGATTGTTCCCTAGGATGCATTGGCTTAGAAGAAGAACTTGCCTTGATTACTCCTATTCACTCTCTGGTTGGTAGAATCCTCCTCCTGACTCTTGCATATTTCCTTGTCTTGCAGGTATGTCCCCTCATTAATTCATGGCTCTATAACCTGAACCCGCAGGTGGCTAATGAGCTGATTAGTAAGTGCTGGCAGTGGGAAGGGACAGGAACACTTTGGGAGAAAACTCCAACCCCTCCTTTCATCTCTTGTGCCCTTACCTCACCCTGACTCTTCTCCCAGATCAAAAATCCTGACCCTCCTGAGGTGGAACAGTCCCTAATAATAACAGTCCTAATGAACTCAGCCACCGTGTATTGAGGGAGTCCTGTGCGCCAAGCCCAGGGCTAAACATCTTGTTTGCGCTAGTCACTGACCCTCCACCACTAGTTAATTACATGCTACTTCCAATTCTATTCTGATCCCAAAAGCCTAGAGAAGCTGAGATATGAATGGAGGCTTCTCTGGGGGAGAAAATTGTCTCCATTGTCCTCCTCCTAAACTTTGGATGTTCAGTTATGAACAGAAAATTGGCCTAGTTTCAGCCAAGACAAAAACTGCTTCCTTCCAGTAGTTTCTACCTCCAAGCACCCAAAGTTTCCACATCTGCCAGAACCCCAAACAACCATGCAAGATTGAATCTCGGCAACTGAGAATTCCCACTTGGAATCTGCAAACCAATAGAATTGCTGGGTTGAAAGAACTCTTTCTTCCTTCACTGAATATTTACTAATTCTACCAAGTGCTAGATGCTGGAGGTTCTCTCCCAGCAAGCAGTTTTCTGGCTTCTGCTCACATCCCTCCACTGACAGGAGCTCACTGCTTATGAGGTAGGAGGCTCGAGGCAGTTAATCTAGATGAGCCTTAAAGCTCCCAAAGGTTGGTCCGCAGGCTCCCCAAAGTAAATATGAGTGGAGTAGCTCAACCAACACCCTCATCCCGCTCATACTGGGCCACCACTTTAGAGAAGTGGCCAGGCAAATGGAGACTCTGGTTGCTGTAAGGCAAACTTCCTCCATTGTCTCATTTCAGTGTATAGCTCCCAAGTGATTCTCTGGGAAGGACCGTTGTTACCAATTTATGGATGAGAAAAATGAGGTCCAGAACTATGAGTGAAATGGTCAGAATCAGCCAGTGACAAAGAGCCTCCAGCCCTAGCCTCCTGTCTCCAAGCCTTTGGCTCACTTCCCAACCCTGCCCTGCACCCAGTAAGAGCAGAGGAAACTCCCTTGGCCTCTCTGATACGTCTTCGCTCCCACTGTCTGAAGTATCTGTTTTGCATTCTAGATGTGCTGCTGCAGCAGAGCACACACCAAGTTGCCATCTAAATATCCCCAAAGTGAAGAAGCCAGGTTTGTACCAATCCGGTAAGATGTCAGAGTATCTTCCATTCCTTAGTGCTTGGCCTTTATGGTCATTATAAATGTGTGATTCATTCATTCATAAAATTTCAGTTTAGGGACCTACTACGTGCTAGATACTAGGGATACAACCATGAACAACACAAAGACTCTTCTCTCTTGGGGTTTGTATCCTAGTTCAGTGTTCTAACAATGAACTAGGAAATCAATACATAGTCAATTAAATTCCAGAGAGTGGTACTTCAAAGAAAACAAAGTAGAAGAGTGACTAGGGTGGAGGCAGGGAAGAAGGCATCAAATTAAGATAGCATAGGGCAGCAGAAGGTGCTTTGAGGAGATCTTTCACCTGAACCTGAATGATCAAGCGGAAGTTGTGCCAAGCCCCAGGGGGAAAGGACATCAGAGGCAGAAGGATGAGCGTGTGCAAAAGCCCTGAAGGAATGAACTTGCCTTTTTGAAGCAAAGAAAGAAGAACAATGTGCCTGGAGTGTGAAAGGGGCTCAGCTACAGGAAGTGTCTTTATAAGGATGCTATTTGGTATAGAAAAGAGGGAGCTTTTTGTAAAAGAGGATGCCATTATTCACTTATCATGTCTTTTTTGGGGGGTGGGGGCAATTATTTTGTGCTGAATACACTCTGCTCAAATGTCACCATCTCAGGTCTCTCAAAAAAGCATATCTGCCACTCTCTTCCCTACCTTATTTTTCTTCATGACATTCATCTGACTTCCTACTATATTACTCATTTCTTTTCTGTCTCCTGCACTAGAATGTATACTTCATGAAGGCAAAGACTTTGTCTTATTCCTTATTTTATCCCAGGTGTCAAGATTACAAAGATGGCTTACACATGGCCCTTGACCTCAAAAGCCCCCAGTGTAGTAAGGAATAAGGCAAATAAATAGGCAATTGTATATGCAAGTAAGGCACTCTGGTTGAGATTCTGTGGAAGTAGAGAGGCAAGATCCAGCAGCCCTGTCCAGGGACTTACTGGACGGCTTCACAGAGGAGGCAGGATTTAAACTGGGTGTTGAAAGACGATTAAGAGTTCCCTTGTGGGAAAAGACATTAAAGCAGAGGATACAGCATGTGCAAATACACAGAAATAGGAAAGTATCTGTGTTCTGGACAATGGGGAGAAACTCTGGGTGCATGGGGGACTAACTTAGTTATGTAGCATTCTAAGCCAATGCTGTTCAATAGAAATATAACACAAAACACATATGTAATTTTGAGTTTTTTAGTAACAACACTTTTAAAGGAAAAAGAAACAGATTATATTAACTTTAGCAAAAAAGCTTATTTACCTAGTATACCCAAAATATTGTCATGTCAACATATAATCAATATGAAAATATTAATATATTAATGAAGCATTTTCTATTCTATTTTGTACTAGGTCTTTGATAGCTAGTGTGTATTTTATACATACAGCACATTTCAATTAGGGCTAGCTGTGTTTCAAGTGCTTAACATCCACATCTGGCTATTGGATGCCATATTGGGCAGTACAGCTCTAACCAAGCTAATTTGCTGCTAGTTGCAAAACTTTGAAAGACCTAGAACATCTCATTTTATCCCCACCAATACATCACAGAAGCCCCAAACTGTGTCCCCTATATTGTATTCAGTTCACAGACATATTTTATTAATCCTAGAAAGTATATTATAAAATTTGATATTTGTATATAAAATGTGTTTTATTTATATTATTTATAATGTGTAAATAAATTTCTATTATTTATAGCGTGCATGAGTTGCCAATATTAAAAGGAAGAAATATGTCTTTTGATCAACCAGAACATCTGGCAATATTTTACATCTTTGTGTCATGAATCTGCCGATGTGAGGAGGAAGATCTGTCTTAGTTGATGAGAGTCCAAGGAACATCGAGAAATTGTTATCCAGGGAAAGGCAGAGGATGGGCAGCTGGACAGGAATGTGTTTCAGCACCATGGATAGTGGACAGCAATACTAATGTGAAAGAAGGTGGAGGAGGGGGAAAGGCTCTCAGCTCTGGCTTATAGCCTCCTTAAAAAGAGTATGAGGTTGGCTAATATCTTGATTATCTCACACAGAGTTAGATCCGGCTGGCTGGTCTCCTCCCTGGAATGTCCTCCAAGCTCCAGGCCATCATTTGTGTAGATGTTCATGTTGATTATTCACCTGCTGCCTAGAATTTCATTAGCCACCCTGGACCCAAAGATCCCCTACTTCTCTGGGTATGAAGGCTATTTCCATATAAATCCTCACCAAAATCCATGTGATGATTTCCCATAATCTACCCACAATAAATTTTTTGCAGCTCTGAACTGTGGACTGTCCAGCTTCCGTAGTTCCTTGTGAGCAGGGGCAAAAATAGCCAGAGATGGTAGTGGGTCTGATCATAACAAAAGTTTGCAAGGTGGGGGAAGATGCCTGGTTAATTTAGCTTTTATCTCAGAAATACCTGAACACTCTGACCCAGAGTTTCCCCAAAGCTAAGGAACAAGGCTTCCTGTTTCAAATAAGATGTTTTCTGAACTGATTCTGTGACCTTGGGTAACTACAGCCTCTGGGCCACAGTCTCCCCACTGTGAAAGGACAATGTTGGTCTAAGTGCCCTCAGGCAAGAACAGTCTACAAGTTGTGGTTTATGGAAGAAAGTTTATCTCTGTCATGGTAATTCCATTTTTCTTCTCTGTGTCACAAAACTCCTTAAAAGACATAGATATTCACTACCTTGACTTCTTTATCTTCATCCATTGCTCAATTTTGGATAATCTGTCTTCTTCCCCCAACTCCTCAAAATAACTTGTCCTAGGTCATCTATGAACTCCTTCAAGGCCAGTACCAAGGAACGCTTATTCACTGTTCATGTTCGTCCATTCACCAGCATTTAACACTTTGGATGACTACTTCAACCTACTCCCCACCTGCTCCACCTCCTCTTTTTCTTCCTTATTACTACCTTGATTCATGCCTGGCACTCTTCTGTGTCTTTAACATACATTACATCACTTACTCTTTTAAATAAGCTTTGTTGGTTATTAAGATTTTGCCTCTCACATCCAAATCTATTGTTCTGTACTCTGCTTAGTGGTGTTGGTCTGGGACTCTGCAAACCACATATCTTCTTTGCTGGTTTGCTTCTTGTTAGAGTCCGCCAATAGAGTTTGCTAGAGGGAGACTGCAAAACTGGAAGAGGAGAAAAGAAAGCTCCTCTCTCCTGTTTGCTCCTATTCCTCTAAGCATCACCTGCAAATGATTCTTTACCCAGCTAGGGAAGGTGGGTTTGAGCTTATCCATTTTTTTTAATGCTCCTAAAACCAGCCTTATTGAGCCCCTTTAGAATACTGCACCAGCCAACAGGTATCCCTTCCTCTGAAGTTTTCTCCCCAGCTTAATGGGGTTCCTCCTTAAAGATCCTCAAAACTCATCCCCACCACTTTTTGTTACCACAAGACCCATAACTAAGTTCAGATATCAGCAGGCTCCAGGGGGATAAAAATAAAGGATGGAATAACTTATGTACTTAAAATTGTTGCAATTTTTAGCTAATTTACATAAGCAGATACAGGGAATATTTTAGCAATTTATTCTAAATATGTTAGACAAAGGAAGATAGACTATAGCACTGGGTTGTTCTTAATTAATTGATGGGTACATTTATCAGAGGTTCTAGATTTAATATTAGATCACACAGCAGAAAATGGCTTAATAGTTCACTGTGCTGATTACTCGAAACTGAACTCAACAATGGCCTTCATTCAGTGAGGTTGAGATGCCAGAACTTCCCAGGTTGAACATAAAGTAAGGCTTTACTTAAAGTAAGTCTCCCAAAAGTTTAAGGAGATGGAACCTTTGGAGTGGATTTATCTTTTGCAAACATATGCACCGACACCATTACATCTCCTG